CTAGTAATTATTTTTTCACGTTCTTCAAGTAATTCATTCTTCTCTTCTTGTAAATTATTTCTATTAACGATCCATTCATCCATCATTGTCAATGTTTGACGACCACTAATATATTTATAGATTGCTTCATTAAGAAGTTTTTTCTTATCATAACCACTGGCAAATACTTCATCATAGATAGGACTAAAATCATCGGAGGATCGTCTCGATTCCTTTCTGTTATCATCATTAGATATTGATTGTCGTTTGTGATTACGGATAGCCTTGGTGATTGACTTTGGAGTAGTGGTTCGTTTGAGTAAGGCCATAACTGATTTAAGTTTACTATTTGTTTGTAAAACTTCTTTCTGTCTCTTTTCAAGCATGATTTTTTGCATTTCACTAGTTCTTTCAAAACGTTTCTTTTGTTCTTGAGCAGATTTTCCTTTACGACGAAGATTTTGAATTTCACGTTGATTATGTTCAGTCATTTCACGGACTCGTTTAGCTTCATCCTTCATACGCTTCATCATTTGCATCTTTTCACTTTTTAGTTGTTCAATTTGAGCACGCATACTCTTGAGTATTGTTTCATTTCGATCCCTTGATGTGGTATTAGATTGAGTAGCTTCATTATATTTTCTACGAAGTTCACCAATTTCTTGGATTAAACGTTTCATCTTGTGTTCATAACGAGTTTTAAGTTCGGCAAGGATTGAATTCTTATCACGAGTACTAACGCCAGTACTAGCATTTTGAGCACGTTTAATAGCAGCATTTCTTTCTTGTTGTAAGGTAATTAAAGCGTCTTGCATATCAGCCAATTTTTGTTCATATTGAGCTCTCATATTAATATATTCTTGTTCAGCACATTCCAATTGTGAAACGAGTTGTTCTTTAACAACCATATCAGCTTGAATTTGATGTAACATACGGGTAAGAGCAATAACATTTTGTTGTTGAGATGAGCAATCAGTGCTATCTTGAGAATATTCAGTTGAACCAGGAGAAATTGGTCGATCGGAGAAACTAACAGAACGACTTGAATTTGAAGTACGACGAGTAGGTTGTGGTGGTTGTGGATTAGATTCTTGCCATTCTGGTGCTTCAATGGTTTGAATTTCACTGAAAGATACACTGCTTAATCTTCTTTTTTCTTTTTGATGATTGGAAATCATTTGATCAATATAACTCTCACTCTTAGTTCTCCTAGTTGATGAAGGTTGTTTTATTAATTGATTCTTTATTATCATGTAACTTTGTCTAAATTGTTCCTTGGCCTTTTGAAGCTTATCTCTTGTCTTGCTACGCCTTCTCAATTTTCGAGTAAATTTGAATGATTCACTATCAACATTTTCACCATCTTCACCATCTTCTTCAATATTTTCTTCGACTTCTTCATATGGTGTGAATAAGGATTTAGCTTCTTCCAAACTTTGATCATTTACGACATGTTCAAGTTGATGATGAGATGAGGAAGGGCCAATAAGTGAAATTTTAGTAGTAGAAGTTTCATCAGAAACTGGGAAGTCAGCTCTTGTCTTACTTTTCTTCGAAGAACGTTTCTTCTTCTTTTTACCTTTCTTCTCACTATTCTCTTTATTATTATTATTCTCTTTATTATTATTATTCTCTTTATTATTATTATTATTATTATTATTATTATTATTATTATTATTATTATTATTATTATTATGATTATTATTATGATTATTAAAATTATGAATATCTTCATCAGATGAATATTTATGAGGATCGGAGAATTTGATATGACCTTTCTCTCTTCCTGTTGTTGTTCCAGCCAAAGAAGATTTACGTGAATGTTGAGAAGCTTGAGTAGCTAAAAGTTCAGAAATTTGATCTTTAAGATCTTTAATTTCTGATTCATAACCTTGAACGATACGATGAGTTTTAATCCTATGTTCACGATCAGCATCTGAAAGATCTTGATCATTAAAACTAATTTCCATTAAAAGAGAGTTCTTTTCAGCTTTTGTAGAGATAAGTTCTTGTTCAACACTTTGAAGTTTCATTTTTGTCATTCCTAATTCTCCTTTAAGAACCTTAATTTCTTCTTCATGTTTACGACTTGTTTCTTCATTACAACCACCAGCTCGTAAAGTTTGAATTTCCATCTTTAATCTACTTATTTGACCACGTAATTGATTTATTTCAATAGAATTACCACCATAACTTTCATTAACACTAACTTTATTCTTAATATTACGAGCACGATTAGCATATTTTAGTGTATTTAAGGTTTCCATAAAATTAGAATCAGCTGGTGAAACACAAGCCAACATAAGAGTTTGACTATTACCACCAAGTGAATCTTGTAATAAACGTGTTAATTTTGAATCTCTATAAGGAATATGAGTGACCTTTCTTGATTCATCACCAAGAGCACTAATTACATTACCAAGGGCTAATAAACCACCATTAATTGCTATTCCTTCTTTTGCTCTATCACCTACGGCATTAGTTCTCTTTAACTATTTATTTAAAAAAAAAAAATAATTATTAATAATAAATAAAAAAAAAAAAAAATAATCGAAAATATTATATATATATATTATATATTATATACATTACCCTTTCAGAACCAGCCAAATCTACGAAATGAAATTTTGAAGTTATTTTTGATGTTAATGATTTTTGTTTACTCTTTCTTTTTGACATGGTTGCAGCTTCAGGAGGTGGAGCATCATTTTCTTTATTTTCTTCTAAATTTTCTATTCTTGTTTGTTTCAGTATTACGGAAAATATAGCATGTGATCTTGAAGATACCATATTCATATCTGTTGAAGCGACAGTTCGACACAGTGAACCCTTTTGTAATTGTCTAATAAAAATTTGATAAAATTAATAAATTATATTTATATTTTTTATATATATATAAAAAAAAGATAATAGAAACATACCCTAAAAGTTCATCTGGATCCGAAACTTGAACTTCTTTTACACCAGCCCAATATATTTGACCATTTGCATCTTCTCTTATCATTAAATCACTCTTTCCTTTTTTATTATTTTCTCTACTTTGTGGGTTTAATAAGTCTATAAGATCTTCATTATATAATTCTAAGAATGATACATAAACTTCATATTCATAGGAAGGATTTTTTTCTTTTCGTTCGCAAAGGTCGGCAAATAATTTAGTTATGGCACGTGGTACGATACCTAATAATAATAAAATGACGTCATTAATTTGATGAACATATTAAGTTATTGATGATCAACTTATTGATGATCATTTTAAAAAATGATGCAAGGGAATATGTATAACAAACAATGGAAATATGTACCTAAATGTTCGGGTGGAATATTTGCACCATCTAAAGCAGTACCCATACTATATGTTTTACCACTACCAGTTTGACTAAAAAAGTAAGGGGGGAGAAGGGGATAATAAAATAATAAAATTTAATAAAATTGTTTCAGGTTATAATAAATATAAAAAAGTAAATAATAAATAAATAATAAATATGCAAACTAATTTAAATAATGATTGTTAATTAAGTTATTTACTTACCCATATGCTAAGATTGTGACATTATAACTAAAATAATAAAATAAAAGAAAAAAAAATAATAATAAATAAATAAATAAAAATATTATAATAATAAATAATAAAAATTTAACAATGGCACGATAAAAATAAAAGTGATATCATCAAAAAAATCAATATCTCCGAATTTGTTATCAAGAAAAAAAATTAATAAAATTTTTATCTGTGATACTTCGGAATATTAATTATTATATTTGATTCTTCTTGAGCGACGTGACACCGATTTTTTTTTTTTCTGTATACTCACCCTTCTACAAGTTTATCTATTAGCGGACTTGCGCAATCATGAAATACTTCTTCTTGTTCAGTTTCAGATGGGAATACATAATCAAATGTAAAAGATTTATCGGTTCCCATGAGTATTTGTGGTGCGTCAGGTATTATTGTTAAACATTCACTACAATTTTGTAGGGTTTCTTTGCTATTAAGTGGTCTTACTCTCAAAGCGACTCTAGAAAAAACGGAATGGAAGATGAGCGAGAGGACGAAACGAAAAACGGTAAAAAGGAAAAGTGGAAGAAAATAAATAAGGACGTGAAAGAAACAGGAATAAAGAATAAAAAGATAAAGGGAATTATTTGATTTTTTGATTTATAGATACTTACCGTACGGAAGTTGAAGTCATTTTTTTTCGTGTGTATGTATTATGTATATATTCGTTACAAATGTGAAGACGAAAGTAAGAAAGAAAAAAAAAAAGAAATATATATAAGAAAAAAAACCGAATTTTTTTTTTTAAGAAAGGGTTTTGTTTATAATACAAACGAAAATATATACAAGAGCTGTCTCTTATACACATCTAGATGTGTATAAGAGACAGTCTTTTTTCTTTTTGATGATTGCGAATCATTTGATCAATATAATTTTCACTCTTAGTTCTCCTAGTTGATGAAGGTTGTTTTATTAATTGACTTAAAATAGGATCATCATGTAAAGAACCTCCATTCTTTATTATCATGTAACTTTGTCTGAGTTGTTCCTTGGCCTTTTCAAGCTTATCTCTTGTCTTGCTACGTCTTCTCAATTTTCGAGTAAATTTGAATGATTCACCATCAACATTTTCACCATCTTCACCATCTTCTTCTTCAATATTTTCTTCGTCTTCATCATATGGTGTGAATAAGGATTTAGCTTCTTCCAAACTTTGATCATTTACGACATGTTCAAGTTGATGATGAGATGAGGAAGGGCCAACAGGTGAGATTTTAGTAGTAGAAGTTTCATCAGAAACTGGGAAGTGACCATCAGCTCTTATTGAAGTACGTTTCTTCTTCTTTTTACCTTTCTTCTCACTATTCTCTTTATTATTATTATTATTATTATTATTATTATTAAGATTATGAATATCTTCATCAGATGAATAAATATGAGGATCGGAGAATTTGATATGACCTTTCTCTCTTCCTGTTGTTGTTCCAGCCAAAGAAGATTTACTTAGATGTTGAAAAGCTTGTGCAGCTAAAAGTTCAGAAATTTGATTTTTAAAATCTTGAATTTCTGATTCATAACCTTGAACGATATTATGAGTTTTAATCCTATGTTCACGATCAGCATCTGAAAGATCTTGATCATTAAAACTAATTTCCATTAAAAGAGTGTTCCTTTCAGCTTTTGTAGTGATAAGTTCTTGTTCAACATTTTTAAGTTTCCATTTTGTCATTCCTAATTCATTTTTAAGACTCTCAATTTCTTCTTCATGTTTACGACTTGTTTCTTCATTACAACCACCAGCTCGTAAAGTTTGAATCTCCATCTTTAATCTACTTATTTGACCACGTAATTGATTTATTTCAATAGAATTACCACCATAACTTTCATTAACACTAACTTTATTCTTAATATTACGAGCACGATTAGCATATTTTAGTGTATTTAAGGTTTCCATAAAATTAGAATCAGCTGGTGAAACACAAGCCAACATAAGAGTTTGACTATTACCACCAAGTGAATCTTGTAATAAACGTGTTAATTTTGAATCTCTATAAGGAATATGAGTGACCTTTCTTGATTCATCACCAAGAGCACTAATTACATTACCAAGGGCTAGTAAACTACCATTAATTGCTATTCCTTCTTTTGCTCTATCACCTACGGCGTTAGTTCTATTTAACTATTTATGTAAAAAAAAAAAAAT